CTTTCTGATTGACTTTTCGTTGCCATCAGGATTTCGCCACCTTCTCCCCAAAAACAGCCTCAGGTACCTCTCTGCAGCTAAAAGCACCAGTATGAGCGTCAGCTGTAAGCAGCAGTGCGTACTACAGAAGTTGAGCAGCTACAGCTCCACAAATCCCTGATAAATTGTGTTCAAATTTAGGAAAAAAATTACGTGCAAGTCTCTCAGTTGCAATCTGGGGAAAAGAAGAGAAGGTGAGTTGTTTTAAGACCTGAAGCTGCAAGAACAAGTTCCAAAGAATTGTTTTAAACCCCGAAACTGCAAGAATGAGGTCCAAATAATGAAAACATTTGCCTAGCTGATTTAAGGGAGCTGCCAAGAAGATAAGAACACCGTGACTGAGGGCAAGGCTGTGGCCCCGCACACTTTGTGGACTCACTGCAAGAAGTGAGGCTTGCATTGCCTGTCCACCAACTTTAAGGCTCAACTTAAACCAAATTGCTGTATTCATTCACAGGGATTTATTTCCAAGCCACGCTGCAAATAAAGCAGCAAGTGGTTGAATCCTCTCATTCGATGTTTCTGTGACAGGCTGAAGGGATGCAGGTACATACACCTGCAGCCCAGGCTCTAGAGGGATTTATGGAAAAGCCCACGCATAAAATACAAAAAGAGACAGTCAAATTCACATCCAAATAGCACTAAGACAGATGGGTTAACACACTTCTAGCTAGATGAGAAGATAGGAAAGCAGTTGTAAAGCCACGTATGAGCCTGCAAGCCACTAGACAGCTAACCTGGTAGCTATAAAATAAGCAGGGCTTGCAGCACACCAGTCTGGAAAGAGGTCCCACCACTGCACACCAAACTCAGTGATGCTCCTCATCCTCTCTGGCACAAATTCCCAGGGAACAGAGCATCAAGCTGGATTTTCCACCTGCAGCACAGGAAAGGTAACATCCCTGTTCTGTGGCGGAAGCTCCCTCTCCGAGCTCAGGCAAGGGTGTCGGGGAAAGTGACTTTATTTGGGACAGGAATGCAATACTAACTCCTGCAAAAATACATGCAGCAGGGCACAGACCTAGCATTTTACTTGTACACATTTATTGTGACTTCAGAACAAGTCTCAGTCTCTAAAAACCATTCTGACCTTCCCCCAGAAATGCAGATTCCAGGACCAAAAGCATCCAGCTTCAGATAAAGACCCACCTTCATGTTGGAGCTACTAACATTTGTTGAAAACCGAAGTCCTGCCACCAAAATCTAAACTGGAAGGACGAGAGGCAGAAGAGAACATAAAAGCTTTTAATCAGCTACCACAAGGAAGCAATAAAATACCCGAGAGAAAGGACCCAAGTGTCAAGACTGAGAAGCATTTTAGTGCCTAGGCAATCTGCACTGACTTGGGCTCAATATTCCATGCAACAGCAGCCAGTACTAACTAAAAAAAGAGACAGACCATACCTTAAACTCTAGATTTCTTCAGGCTATCCTGTTTTATACACATCTGTGCACACAGCCCAGCATTTTATGACAATGGTTAATTGTCAGAGTTTTATGGGCTGTGCTATGTTTTGTTGGCTCAACATTTAATCCCACACAGCAATCTTTTTTTAAAGAGAATTATAGTAAAGTGCATCCAATTATGCTCATAGAGAGCTGTACATTCATCATACAGAGATTAACAGCTCAACAGGATGATGGCAGAGCTGTCACTGCATCTGTAATTCCACTTACGCTGCCCGCCAGCACCCAGACCCTGGGGTACCAACTCATCCCCTCCCCAGATGGGATTTTTGGATCTGTCAGCGCTACACTAAGGTGGGCAACAACCTCACAGCAGCTTACCAGAAAAGGTCTCCAGCAAGAGAGACTTTAGACACTGTGTTCAGCCAAGAGACCAAACTGTGACGACCAGAACATGCACACAGAGACTCACAGATATCACAGAGCAGCTATTTGTCTTGTTTGAAGTCACCTTAGAGGTTTTTCTTGCTGGAGATTGAACAAATGTATTTTACACAGCAAATGCATCTGACACTAGGGAGCAAATCAACACAGGCAGCACTGGAGAACCCTCTTTGCAGAAGATGGCCCATGGTCAATCCCTCTCTGGCCAGGCAGCAGCTGCTCAAGTCCCAGCAAGTGTTGCAATGGGTCGCACGACACAAGAGGGCAATGTCAAGCCCTCTGGCATAAGGAAGCTTTTCAACTCGAGAAAGGTTTCACCCAGCTTGGAGAAAGCAAGAAAATGAGACGGGGAGGGAAAGATGTCATTCCCACACTTGCTTTTCCTCTGTGTTTAAAGAGCACCAGAGGGTCTTGTAGGATCCTGGTGCGCTAGCTCCCTTGAGGGATGGATGTGAGGTGTTCAGGGAAATCTTGCATTGCCTGGACAAAACCTGCTTTTTACCTCCTTTCTTTTCAGCTTGTCTTGCTGGAGACGAGCACTGCAAGTGCTCAGCTCCACTGTTTTGTTCCAGGAATGCAAAGCCTGAGTATGTCACAAAATACCCAGAGAGCAGCAGCAACGCAAGGGCATTTTTTTGAAAAGTGTTCCCTTGCAGAGTTGAACAAGGAACAGCACACTCCCAGACATACCTCGGTCATGGCATAGTTAAACCTCATTTCTGGAAGGAGCTTAGGAAGCTTGAAGGTATTTTTTTCAGCAGTTCAGGCTATGTTCATCAGAAGCACTTAAGGGGCTCATCTCGGCCACTTTCAACCACCTGAGAAGTCAGCTTTCCAGGAGGATCAGCTATGCCCTCTGCAGCCAGAGACTGATTTAGTATGTATAAAATCCACTCTGGAGGACGCTTTATAAAACCACCTCTGAGAAAGAGCCGACAGCCTAGATGACTCAAACATCTGGAGTCTGAGAAATCCCATGTCTGAGAGAGAACCACCTGGATTTTGGCTACCTGGACTGCTTTCATGTTGTCATGGAAAAAAAGAAAAAATCTTACTTCACACCTCCCCTTATGGAAAGTCTGGACTTCTGTTCTGCCTGAAGCTTGTTTTTAAAACCACCATCCTCGCATTTGAAAGGGGACTCCAGCACATCAGAAGTCCATTTTTCCTTAAAAATCCTAAACATTTCAGTTGAAGAAAAAGGATACAACTAATACCACCATCACAAACAACAATGCTTCTGGGAAATAAGGAAGCCTTTTTTGTCCTGTTTTGAATGGAAGGGAAAACACTTAAAAAGCCCAGGAGGACACACAAGGAAAGTCAGCTTCTTCAGACACAGAAGAATCCACAGTATTCGCATTCCTCATCCCCGAACAACGCACCCCACGGCATTAAGCCCAGACTTGTCATAGCAGAGTACAGTTCCCCTTAAATCTTTCAATTAAGATGGCATTTGTAAAATTGCAGGCTTGAAAATTGCTAGATATTATTCCTAAGTTAAAGTCACCGCTCTGATTCAAAAAGTAGACTTCAAGATAGTCAAGCAGAGGTCTGGGCCATGCCTATTCTGCATCATTTCCAATAACTACTCGCTATAGAGCAACTGGGATTGGTTAATCTAGAAGTAACTAAGTAAACTTTAAGGACTCTCTGACACTGTGACACCAAGGATAATCCACAGCCCTTGCATTTAATCTCCAAAACAGCCAGTGCCCACACAGGCAGGCTCCAGGATGCCTCCAGCCGCGACGATGAAACCCAGGCTGCTGCTGTGCCCCCGAGCTGCATTTTCCTAGGCACATAGCACAAAAGCCAGGTTTCGCTAAGTCCTCCTTCACCATTTAGCACGTGCATTACAGAGGATATTAAAACAGTATGCTAGAGGCAAAAGCAACCTCTTGAGCAAGCTAGGGATTTTATTCCTCAATAGCAAGCATTTTAGATATCTTCACAATTTGCCTTAACTAGGCTGTTTGGAAATCCCCTCAACCTTGCTGCCCACGTCGGGCAAAGTTTCTGAAGGGTGCTGGCTCGGCAGGGAGTACACAAAGAGCACAGTTTTGGGCATACATGTCCATCTGCAACATGGCTTCACAGCCACCTCTCCATTCTCAGCCATCTCCCCCAAGGAGCAGCACAGCACCATTGCCAGCAAAACCATCCTGACGCAAAGGCCCTCCACCGACCTACGGAACGCTCTCTGCCACGTGCTTTTCAAGCAAGTCTCCTCTACTCCCTCCCAAAACACATGGCCCATACAAGCCAAGCCACCACTCAAAGCTAACGCTGCAGGTCCCCAAAGGTGGAAGCCCCAGGGTTGTGTTTCACTGGTGTGTTCGTGCCCAGCACCACGGGCACCATTGCCAGCAAACACTACCCTCCTCCTCCGTGTGAACCTGCCTGGAATCAGACACAGATCCTACTAAAGCATATTTGGGGGAATTTGGCACTTGGGCCCTCACCTGGAGCAGGTAGTTTATATTTATAAAGAGTATGACAGACAACAGCACTTCCCTGTACTGCAGACATAGCTGTGTGCTGTGGAGGCCTGACCTCTCTCAGAGATGTCTAACAGGCTGGTTTTCTCCTCATTTTTGCTCTCTGCCTCAACACAGCAGGTGTAGGGATTGCATGCCTCCAGCCAGGATGATTAAACCCAAAAGGCACATGTCCAACCCCAAAATTCCCTCTATACTCTTTCTTCCCTTACCAGCTCCTATGGAGAGCAGGGACTGACCCAGGCAATCCAAGGCCCTGACTCACCTCCACCATTTTAATTAAAATGTGATAAAAACCTCTCCAAAACCCTTGGGAAGTCTCAGAGCCACGTTTGAATTCTCTGCAGGGATAATACACACCAAAAATCCTAATTTCTCACTAGAAATGCCTCTCCTTCAGTGACCAGGCCACAGCAGCAAGAGCAACGGCAAGGCCCCAGGCCCCAAAATTGAGGCTTTTTGAAGGAAAATAAAAGGCAAAGGGGGAGGAGAGACCTGCTCAGCAGCCAGCCTTCTATTAGGTTTTTCCAAATATCACTCCAAAATTTCACAATGAGGAACGACCGCATCTCACAGCCCCATTTTGGGGGATGGGGGGGTGGCACTCACCGGTGGCATTCGGCGGCACCTCCAGGTTGACGTTGACAAAGAAGCGGATGCTGTCCCCCGAGACGATGGACGAGTTCACCGCGTCGAAGAGCTCCTCGCCCCCCGTCTCCTCCTTGGCCTCACAGCCATCATCCGTGTCGCATTTGAGGTACCCTGCCAACAAGACGGGGAGGGCGGTTAGTGGGGCTGGGGGCTGCGCCGGGGCCCAGAGCCGTCGAGGTGCGGGCAGACCCACCAGTCATGGCTGCTGAGGGCTGCAGCAAGGCCTGAGCAGCACCCAGGGCCTTCTCGTATGCCCTTGTCTGGTGAGGGCTGAAAATCATAAGCAATCAGCTCCAGCACGTTTTGGGTTGGCCTCAAGTGTGTGTCCGAAGGGCTGCTCCGGAGCCTGGCCAGGCAAGACCATGGGCTTCACATGCCAACCTGGTCACCAAGTCAATGGCGTGAGCGGCAAAGCTGTGAGTCAAAGCCTTGCTCCTCTCAGAGCAAAACACCAGGATGAAGGCTCCAACTGGAAACCATGAAAATTCCAAGCAGCAACCCAGAAGCAAGAGCTGCACCACAGCCCCAGTCCACCCTGAACCCAACACGTTCACCAGCTCAAGTCACCGCCAGCGCAGCCGCTTCACTTGCAATTCAGCAATTTGAAACTGAGGAGGGAGAGGGGAAAAAAAAAAAGGTTTCCAAGGAGACACCTGATATGGACAGACAGACCCACAGCTCCCCACAGGGCAGAGGAGCAGGTCACAGGAGGTGGCAGCACCGAGAAAGTGAGACAAGTTTCTTAATTACAGCGGACAACTCCTTAGCCTTTCGCAACGCTTCTAATTAGAGTTTAACCTAGCCTCATTCAACAGCAAGCTGGTTCACTGCAACATTTTATTATGAAGCAGTTGGAGGACTCTTGTGGTGTGCTCGTGTATCGTGTTTAATTAGGAGAACTGGGGACATTATGGAATGTCAATTTTTGCATTACCAGGATTATTCAGCAGCTTCTACCCATCTTCTGACAAGTCTTTTATGCCTAATTTGAAGCAGGAGGGATATATTTCATTAGCTCGCTTTAAGCATTACAGCAAAATGAAAAGGGTGAGCTTCAAGGCAGAGGCTTGAATGGAAACTAAAATATTGATGGCTTTTTTTTTTCCTAAAGCCTTGTATAAGCAAACGTAGAGGCAGCGGCAGCAGCTGAAAGCAGCACATGCAGTCTGAGGGATCTCGAGCCGACAGCTCACCACGGCAAAAAAAACAAATGCCCGAGCAGGGAGGGCACAAACAGGAACTCGGTGACACGGGACAGGGGCTGCAGCTTCCTGCCGCGAGCGACACGCCGACGGGCGTTCAGCATCTTCCCAGGAGGGCTGCAGGGGCTTCAAGGCTTCAGGTGACTTCTGAGCAGCTCATCCAAAGTGTGGGAAACCCAACAAAAAACACAGATTAATTCTCCTCCTGATCTCTGCCTCCATCTACCTGCTTGACAGGCACGAACATGAATCAGTCCTATTAGGACAGATCTGACAGCCAGCCAAATGCACCAAGGGTGCTGTCCTCTGCTGCTGGTGGAGCTTAGGCAGCTGTTCCCATCCCTCCATAATGGAAAATTGTCCAAAAACGGACAAAAAGAAGTGAGATGAGGAAAGCAGAGGAAACACCTGAACACAATACCCAAAGTATCATGACACTGTGGGCACCACCAAGTGTGAAACATCTGCACGAGGGCTGGCAGATGTAATTGTCCAGAAACAGACAGAAAGAAGTGAGATGAGGAAAGGAAACACCTGAACACAATACCCAAAGTATCATGACACTGTGGGCACCACCAAGTGTGAAACATCTGCACGAGGGCTGGCAGATGTGCCAGGACTGAGGGGCAATCTCTGTGCTGGAGGGATGGACAACGGCCAGACAGGGTGCCTGCTGGCATCAGAAGTACTATGAAGGCCTATGCAAGCATCTCAATCCCAAACAAAGTGCCAAACTTGGGGTTTGGCTCCTCCAAAATACACAATGGACACCATAACCTCTCCTCAGCAAAGCTGATCACCCACCAGTGCTGACAGCCCTCCTGATGCCAGGAGAGCTTGGGCAGCCATGCAAAGCAAAAATCAGCCTGGAGTAGGCTCAAATCCATGATCCTGACTTTTCCATCTCATCCATAGCCAGGATTGCAGCCTCAGGGAAGTTGTCACAACAGATTTGCACCTCTCCATCTTTCCCTCTTGGTGGGTCAGATGGGAGGCACATGGGGGCAAGATGGTTTGAGCATACAGCTCAGAGAACATGGTTGAGTTTTTACCCACTGACCTAATGCAGTTAAGACATAGATGGGTAAATAGGTAAAAGCCAAGCAGGGAAGACTATTTATTCATCGCCCAAGCCCACTGAAACTGGCTTGATAAGAGCACAGCAGCGGTGGGCCCTGAAAGTGGGGAGGGCTGGAGACAGGAGAGAAGCAGCACAGGAGCTGGAAGAAGGGCAAGGGTGGAATAGGATCAGAGGGTTGGGCAGAGGTCAACGAGGACTCTGGCAAGGGAAGCATCCTCTGTTCCTCCCTCTTTAGGGGAGGAAAGAGCAGAACAAAAGGCAGCCGAGCCTCGTGTCCCTTGGGCAAGAGACGGACAAAACACTCAGCTTGCAAATAATCCCAAACCTGGGCTGTACAGGAACTGCACTCCCAGGCAGGTGTCTGCTTTGTCACTAAACCACCTCAAGGCTTCAAACCACTCCTGTTTTGAATCCTTCAGCCTATTAGTCTGCCAGGCATTTTAAAATACAAGCAACTTATGCCTGTCAGATGCAGGGTCACCTTGAGGTGAGAAGATGAACTGTATGCATAGCAGACGCAGCTTCCCTTCCCTCCGAGCACGCCTCAATAGCTGCCTCCAGCCCTAGCAGCTGTTTTCCCCCCATCGCCTGATGATCACCAAGTGCCATCCCCTGCTGCTCGAAGGGCAGCAGATGCCACAAGCGACAGCAGAAGCTGTTCAGCTCCTCCAAAAGTTTGACGGGTGTTTTGCAGAAGTTCAGAGCAGGATCCGATGTGGCCATCGTTGCACAATTTGTGTAAATATCAATCAGGTTTCCATATGGAAGCCTGGGCTCGGTAACACTTTATAGCTTGCGCTGTGGGCAGTTGCTTCAGTGAGGTGGAGGGCAGAGTTAGGCACCTTTGCCTAGTGCCTCGTATCAGCTGGGGAAGAGTTTAAGATCTTCCCTCCCCAATCTCTATCACTGCAGATTGCCACCTTCACATGAAGGCAGCGTTTGCTGAAGCACCATGAGCTACGTGACGGGGTGAGTCAGACCTCCGAGTGCAAGAAGTGTCACTTCAGCCTGAAAGATGGTCTAAAAGCACTAGAGAAAAAAAATTTTTCTGAGTAGCAGGTCAGAGTTAAGGTTGGCTGAGAAGATCAGCGTAGCTTTCCTGTACCTTGAAGAACACCTCATGGTCAGGAGGATCCCCCTCAGTCCACCACCCTTCAAGACTCGTCTCATAGCAAAGAGAAATGGAAAAGCATGAAAAGTGCACAAAGCCAAGGACAGCAAGCATCATCCTTCAGTGCTGCAGGAACAAAAAAATCAACTCCTCGCCCTGTGCAGCCATAAGTAGCAGATGCCTTGACATTAAGTCTTCATGTACCTCAGCCCATCCTACACAACATGAAAACAAGCCATTCCTCCCTCTATTTCATGCAGGTGCTGGGAAGAAATAAAAAAAAAAGCAATTTCTCTAGCCATTCCTCTCTAAAGTATCACCCCATCCCCTGTAATTCATGCCTGGCCCAGGCCTGCCTTGTTCTAATATCTCAAAATCCATCCCCAGTCTTCTCTCCTTACTCTCATCACTTTCTCAGATCCACTTCATCTTCCCGGTCCTGCTGCTATCAACCCTCTCACAACCCTGACAAGGTGCCTGCCCTGCAGCTATTTTGCTTTTGAGCAGAGTTTTAAGAGCCCAGGACTCTGTCGGGAAGAGCAGCGAATTGAGCTGCGGCAATCAGAGGTGGCATTACCTCTCCCTCCACTGCTTTAGTGGCACCTGGCAGCTGCACCTGGGGTAATAAAAATCAGCAGAGCAGCAGTTAGCAGGAAGCAAAACTTCAGCCACATCATATATGCTCCCTAGAAAAAGCTTAATTGCTCCGTGGGAGCAGCATTCACAGCCCAGGGGCTGGAGATTTCTCCAAGAAAGCTGAAATCTTAATCAAACTCAATTTCCTGGGAGAAAAGCAGCTATATTACTAACAACATCATCTCACACCCCAGGTTATGAGATTTATGCCTGACGCAGCCCCAGCGTAACCTCTCGGTGTGCCTCTGAGGAGACAAAGCCAGCCATGGTATTTTAATCAACATCTGCATCCACAAACATGCACACTAACCAGGAGGTTAGGAGTGCAAATGCATCTACCCACACTTTGCTGCAGACTCAGTTTGGCACAGCAAGCCAGGCAAAACATCTAAGGAGGTTTCTGGGAGAGACAGGGCATTTTTCCTTTTGGCGTTACCCAGATATTGCACAGTTCTAGGCCTGTGCATGCTATACGTTTTTTGGGGTTAGGCAGATATATTGCTGCTACTGTTTTAGCAACAGCTACATGGATGAGATTAACGTACATATTCGTGTAGCTCGATTAGCAGGGCAAAATAGGAAAGTTAAAAATCAAAGCTCATCAAAAGTTATTGGCCTCTGCCAACTCTCTGCAAAAATTGCTGGCTTTATTTCTGAAGGACCACAGATGCTACGTTAACACTCCGAATACTCAAAGCAGTTTTCTGGAAAGCACTGATTTTTAGCCTCAACTTCCAATGTAGCCTACACAAATCTGGAGAAGCGTTCTCATTTATAGCAACTGTTTGCACAGAAATATCTATTCCCTCAGCCAAATCCAAGCCCTAGCTTCCACAATCATGGGATGACATCTCCTCTCCTTCAGAAGTGATAGTTGCCCCCTCCCATGACGTCTCTTCAGAAAGCTAGTTAGACAGAGAGTTCTTTTGAGCTCATATGATTGGCAATCCAACACTATCAGCTAGCCGTGTTAAAAGCTATTTCAGATTTCCCAAATGAGTTTTTAGGCACAAAAGGCAGCAAGTTGCAGGACAGTCTTTTTTACTGGTTTTGCAAAACATCATTTGTGGTCACCTTGCCAAAACATAGGAGCAACGGTACGCACCGTGCTCCTGCCAGATTTGGCAGCCTCAGACGTTTCACCCTGAGAAAAGCAAAGGTTTTCCTTCTAATATCACTGCTTGAGATATGTTTGTCACTGATCGTGATCCATTCAGAACTGAAACCCAGCGCCTGGCCCAACTCTTAGCATTTCAAGCCATAAACCTCGCACAACCAAACAGCCAGCTCTGCTACCGTCAGTCAAGTGCAGGAGTTTGCAAGTTCTTGTTTTGGAAGAGCCCAAGAGCTATTTTCATCCACTTTCTCAGCAGAATTACAGGCCAAGAATAAACAGAATCAATAATATATATTCAATAGCTTTTAAAGGTAAGGGGACATCAACTGGGACATTTGAGGTCTCTTCCAACCATAACGATTCTATGGGCATTATCCTAAAATCAAGTCTGGTTCTTTGGAGCATCCCAGTACTCAGCTGTAACACAGTGTTAAGGAACCTGAGAGAATTAAGTCCTGTATCTACCTAAAAACTACTCATGATACTGGCATTAAGTTAAAAAAAGTCATCTTCATCTGATTTTCCTTCTCATGGATTTTCAACTTGCTCTAACCAACAGACACTAATTTTGAAGAAAGGCATGAAGTTTTAATTAACCTGAGCTAAAGCAATCAGTTGAAGCTTTAAGCTATCAGAGGGCTTGCTTCGTTCCCCAAGTACTGCAGGCTTGCAGATTCACTGCGTCACTCTGAAAATACCCAAATCCCCAACACTGGGTACAAAAGGAAACTCAATTAATAATGGAGCCTCCACCTCCATTTTGACCTTTACACTCTGCACAAAAACACGGACCCCATGTTGCCTCCAAAGGTTAGATAACCTTACAGTTTGTTAATATTGGCAGGGATAAAGCAATCAAAGGATTCAGGAGAGACTAGGAAGAACTTTGTACAAGTGTTATTAGCTCTCCAAAATGCACAGTATTCTAGGAAAAAAAAGGGGGGGTTAAACAGCACCCTACTCTCATGCACTAACCAAGGCAAGCTTCTGGTGACATCTCATATGCTGATTTCAGCATAATCACCTACTCACCAAAATAGCTCTCCTTTTTCAGACAAAAAGAGAGCAAGGGTATTGATAGAACAGCATCTTTTAGGTAAATATTTGCCTAAATTTTACATGTTCCTGCTGAGGTTAAACTTCAAAGTTGGGGGTTGCTTACTGTTTTGAATCCCAAGGGTCTGAAAAGCAGTCGTGAAAAATTCCTTCCTTCCTAACAAATTACTCCACTTTACGGACAAATACAATTGCAGTGCTGTAGCCACAGAGCAATACCCTCCAAAGGCTGCTATCAAGTCACATTTTGCAAAGCCGTCTCCCACAAAATTAAAAATTTAAGCCACAGTGATTAAATAAAGCAGTTCTGCATACAGCTGAATGCTTCCTAGAATGTTAAGCTTGGCCTTTGGTTCACAGTCGAGAGATTCCCTGGCAAGGCTCACAATTTTTGTCCTAAGGAGCTTTACCCATGGTAGAGCAGGCAGCTACGTGGACAGGGTTTATGCCAGTCCAGGAGAAGACAACTGAGGAGGGTAGAGGTTGTCCACAGACTGCGTTGTTGGACTGCTGGGGGTTTGCTGCTGGCAAGTAATTGGCAAGAAAGGTCCAGAGCTTACCTCCCATGCTTTGTAGAAGACATCCTTTATTAAGCCAAATATGAGTTAGCACAGGTAGATTAACAACTACTCTAGGTCATCTAGATGGCATTTAGAGAAGTGCCCTCCAATCCCAGCCGCTCCCACAGGTAGCTTAAGGGGCAGAAAAGCTGGGGAAGTGTTGGGTGATGCTTCTTGGCTCTTGAGCAATCACTGGGAGCCCATCACATATGGGTTTGCAGTCTTCGGGAGTAATGGCCACCTGCTATGGAGATGTCAATCCATTACCTAAGTTTTCAGAGTGCCTCAAGACCACAGATTAAACCACAACCTCCTCTTGAAAACAAACCAAAAAAACCAGACAAACCGAGGTAGAAAGTGTGTAGCAGCTGAGTGACCAGACCTGCATCCTGTAAGTAACAGATCCCTCCACTGCTGGCCAGTCGTAACCTCAGTCGCATGTCTCCAACTCTACTTCAAGTCAGTCTTTTGTCATGAAGAGCCAGATGGAAACATAAGGTTTCCCCTGCCACTTCAGTAATAATTCATAGCAGAACTGAAATAACTGATGTGCTACAAAAAAAAAGCAACCAAGCACTTCTGAATTAATTCCAGTATTGTATTTTGCAGCCAGATTTCTAGGAAATGTTGTGAATAATCCAAGTAATTCAGTGGGGCTTTGTTTTTATTTTTTGTTTTGTTTTTACAAAACACAGCAGCACGTGGAATTTCAGTTCTGTACCAGAACCCATAGAAATCAGGAGTGTTCATTTTATTATAGGCCTCCTGATAGACAGTTCCCTGAAATAAAAATCTGCAAGAGACCTGCAAGCCACCCCCTCGGGCTCTCCATAGGCAGCAGTAGTGCATCTCCTGCTGGTAAACTGGGCATCTCATCGGGGGAAACCCATTGCAAAAAGATTTGTTTCACAAAGACATTTAGATTAATCTCATAGTTAGGCAAACAATTCCAAGACAGATAAATTTAAAAAAGAAAACAAGCCCACAGCACACATACCAAACTGAACTGCAAACTAAAAAACAAAAACAAGAAGATAAAATATATCCAAACATCCCAAGCCAGACTGGGGCCTTGGGGCCCTTCAACACAACTGCAATTTATTGTGCCAGCAAAACCAATTAATAAGTCAGAGGAGACCAAGCAGTGAGGGATTTGCTCTGGAAGACAAAAAAATTTATGCTGCAATATCTGTTGAGCCAGCTTTAAAACAATGCAACAATTCAGATATCCCCAGCACTATAC